AAAAGTAGCCAGTATTGTTTAGATAAGTTTAACTGGTTTTTTATAGTTATAATAATATTTAGTCTGTATCTATAATGGACCTATTTTGAATAAATCCATGCTATTAATATAGTATAAGTTCTTTGCAGATAGAATTTAGTCATTAGTTATAATCTTTATGAAAATTTTTGTATTACTGTTTACTAAAGATATAGGTCTTTAGTTATTTACATTTTTCATATCTGTTAATTTTTTAGATATTAGAAAGATCAGGCTCTTGCACTAAGAGATTAGTATGATTTCCAAGTTTAGTGCTTGATTAAATACTTTGTATAAGATAGAAGTTATAGTTTCTTCAGTGAGTTTGTAAAACTCATATGTTAGACCATCAGTGCCTTAGGTTTTGTTGGTTGGAAGGTTTTTAATAACATTGCTAATCTCCTCTTAAGTAATTTCTTGAATAAATATTGAGTTATGAGCTAATAAAGCTTGAGGCAGATTTTTTGTAATCTTTTTAGCTAAATTAATATTTATATCTTTTTTCTTGTAAATTTTGACATATGTATCTCTGATATATTGAAGAGTATTTTATATAATTGTAATGAGGCTCTAGGATTTTTGATGTTCTTTAAAAATAAGTATGCTTTTCAGATTTTATATCTAGTAAAAAAGTACTTTGCAGATTTTTTTTCTTGCTCAATCTATTGAGCTTTTAAGCATATTTGCTATTTTTCTATAAAATGTGATAGTTCATTTGAAGGTTTAGACTTAGTCTATCTATTTGATTATATAAAAAAGAATTTTCTGAGTTGTAAACTAGTTATTCCTTTAGCTGAGTTATATTTCTATTTAGCTTTGTAATCTTGTTTTCAGTGAGTTTTGGTTTTCTAAATGCTTTTATAATAGATTGAATATGGACTTTACAAAAGTTCTAGTTATTAATTTCTTCAAATTCTGTAATTTCTTCTAGTACTTCTTTTTTCAGTTTTTCATTCAAGAAGCAGCTTTTATTGAATCTTCAAAGAGCTAACTCTCTTCCTTTGACTTTAAAAAAAAGGGTGCATTCTACCAAAAGATAGTCCAAGTTGCTGAACCTGGTATCAATTTGTGAGATAAGGTAAGCATTATTTGTATCAATAAAAATGTAATCTAAGTATATAGCTATTGTCTGATTGCCTTGTGTTTTTTAAAAAAATATATGAAAAGGTTTTGTTTTGGCAAAATCTGAGGTGTCTGTAAAGTTTCTAATAAGGCTTAGAAGTTATGTTCTTGTTGGATCTTATTGAGGTGCTACTTCACTAGTTCTATCTTTTTCAGAATATAAATTAGTGTTGAAGTTATCTCCAATTATATTAATGACATTTTTATTGATTTGTGATAACCATTTCTTAAAGAAAAATTTTTTATCATTTGGATTAGAAGGTACATATATGTTGGATATTTGAAATATAAGTTTTAGAATTTGAAATTAGTAATAATAATTCTATTGTCTAAATCTATTTTTGTGTTTTTAAATATTATATCTTTGTTGTCTGCGAGTATAGCTGTCTTGTTTGACCAGATTGAATCAAAAATCTACTAAATTTAAGAAAGCTCTGTGTATTCTTATTATATAAGTTTGTTTCTTATAATATAATAAGGTCTAGTTTGTAAGATTTTAAAAGAATTAAAGTGTTTTGTTGTTTTTGTTGATTGTTTAATTTCTTTATATTAAGACTTGCAATTTTAAATTTAAATTATTTAGTCATATTAATATGAAGTAGTACAGATTTTAGATCTGTAAATTCTATACTCTGTTATGAGATTTTTTGTATGAAGTAGATCTAATTGTTTCAATTTTCTGATTTATAAAGTCTTTTTTATTTTTTTTTGTTCTTTTTTTTTCTTTATAGAATTAAGATGAACCTATTATCTGAGTTTTTTAGTTGAAATTGTAACTTGTTGTTATTTGTAATTAGCATAACTGAAGTACTTAGAGCTTTTGGGTTTTCAATTTTTATTAAAGAATTTGTAGCTAAATTTTCTATAATAAAAGTTTCATCATTAATGTCATTCATAACTTTATTAACTGGACAATTAAGATCTTTTTCTGCTAGTATAGTACTGTTTATTTTATTATTCTCTTGGCTGGCAGCTGTATTTAAAAAGATTTTTTTTTATTGAAGCTCTTCAATATCTAGTTCTTTCAAAATATTGTTTTGTTTTTGCTGAATTGCTTTTATATTTTCTATATCTATTAATAGAAGTTTTTTTTTTTATTAAAAAAAAATTCTTTATATTGATGATGAAGTTCAATAGCTTTCTTGTACTGACTGTAGTCTTTTTTAATATATTTCTCATTGTCACAGAAATAGTAAAGCTTAGAAGTTACATGCCATTCTGTAGTAATCTTATTGTTAAGTAAAATATAAAACCAAAAGATTCTTTTTTTAAATCTGAGTCTTCTGTAATCTCAAAAGTAATGATCTACTAGTTAGTTAGATAAAGTGTGCCTTCTATTAACAGTGACTTAATTGAAGCAATTTTATTAAATTCTTGAAAGCATTTTTGATTCTCTTTGAAATAAATTCCTTATTGTCTAAAAGAACATTTCTGATCTTGACTGACAAAAAAGATCTTCTAGAATTGATCAGAATATGTTCATAGTATGTATAATTATAAATTTTAACTTCTTTTGTAATATAATGTTTGAGCTTTTTCTTATTAATAAAGATTAATTCCAAATAAGTATAAGATCTCTTATTTATATGTGATTTAGCAGCAATTATATCATGTTCTGCTATCTTATAAAGAGAAATCATAATTTTATTTAATAAATTATTAAGGTTATGAATATCTAGTATAAACATGTTATTATTTTTAGATCTTATATTGTTTCTTGATGAGAATAAAGAAAAGATTGATTATCCTTTCTTGACTTTTGTAAATAAACTTGATCATGATTTATTTGTGACTTCTTTGTTTTTGTTTATATTAGTTATATTAGGTTTTGCAAAAAATATATTGTTTTGTTTTATATAGAATATTGTTGTTTTGTTTTTCTTATTATTTTGTTTTTTTATATATATCTTAGAATCAGATATGATTATATTACTATTTTGATTTTTTTTTTCTTTAAGAAGTCTCTTTTTATTTTCCAAAGTAACTTGTTCATTCTAACTAATACTATCCAAGAAATTATCTTGCATAAAGGCAGTTAAATTATTATAATAATTTCTGTTATTATAGTATTTTTTTTAAGAAGAAAGTTAGTTTTAGTTTTTGTTAGTTGTTTTTTTGTTAAAAAACTTGTTATTAGTTTTGTTTCTTATTTCTGTAGATTTCAAAGATAAAAATCTTGCATTTTCTAGAAACAAGAAGAAGAACCTCTGTTTTGCTACTGTTTTTAAAGTTAATAAAACCCTGAGTAAAATTTATTTTGTCTTCTTTAAAATTATCTTCTTTCCTAAACATAATGATCAAAAGAGAGAGATCATCAATCTTAACTTATATTTTTTAAAAAATATATGTTTATTATAATTTTATATAACTTAAACCTATATTTTAAAAAGAATTTAATATAATCTGCATTTAGAAAATATGTATTTAAAAATATTAATTATATAAACAATAGTAAAACATTATTAAAAAATTGATTAACTTTTATAATAAACCACTTTTAAAATTTTATAAAAAAATCTTTTAATATTAAAAAATTATAAAGTAATTTTTTTTGTTTAAATAAATCAAAAAAACAAATTTGTTTAAATTTTATAAATAAACTTTAAAATGTCAATTTATTTAAAACTTTTACACATAATCTGCATAAAATGTTAACCGTTAATTTTAGAGTCAATACCATTTAAATTAGAACATATTTATATAAGTAAAATTTTTTAAAAAAAATTTTTTTATTAATGATAAGTTCTAACCACCATTTTACATTTTTCATTTTGTACCACCAGGCTGACCCAGATTTATTAAATAACTATCAGCACGGCTTATTGATACACTCGAAAGGTTTGTAGCGCAGACGAAATTCTTAAAATTCGTTAAGGTTTAGAAGTTAGAAAAGATAGTTTATGTAATAAAATTGTCTAATAAAAATTTTATGTTAAAGCACAAGAGGTGGTTTCTTATGCTGATTTTTGAGTTATTTGGCAGAGTGAACGTTTTTTCTGAATGTGTTACGTTACATCGAATCTTGAAATCTGATTCGTAGCTCAGGAGATCTGCTCTATAAACCTAGTACAGTTGACTCTGGATATAACGAACCTCTATATAACGAACTCTGGATATAGTGAACTTAAAATTTTGAAATTTTTATAATAGTTCGGTATAGAAAATGGAATTTCCCTTAAGAAAACATAATAACTTTCTATAATGAACTTTTTTTTCTTCCAGAACCGTCAGTTCGTTATAGAAAGAGTTGACTGTACACATTTTCCGAGTACTACTGACACATCTGATGAACCAGTACTGACCAGCACTATAGTTATGGTTAGTGTTAGAATATAGTTATTCCCATTAAATTTGATTGGCACGCATCACGTGGTCATGTCCGACACATTGAGGGTCGGGATCTTAAGCGGACCCAAAAGTATCAAGTAATTTAAACCTGTTTGAATCCATGATTTCATGACCAGTAAATTCAGTTTTGTCTGCAGATATCTAGTTACAACTTATCACTGCGTAATTATTGCCATAAGTTGTAACAAATACATCAAATATGTGTAATATGTATTAATAAATTTATCAATGACTGCACTGAGTGCAAGGATAGTTCTGGACACAGGTTCTATGTATATACAGTGCTTTTACAAAGTATAAGCAACATTTATATTAATAAATTCATCTTGATTGTTAATATTAACTACTATATGTGCACTTTTATTGGCTAAGATTATATTATTCATTCCAGAGACTATTCCTCGAATGGAATTTTCATCGGAATTGGAAAAATCTGGAAATCCAACGGGGTTCCAGCTTCCATTTGACGTCTCAGTGATGAAAGTTTATCGTCGGTTCTTACTTTACAACCTTTACTTCCATGCATCTTGCAAGTGATGTGTATTTTTTTTAATCACTGCCCTTAAACGGTGCTCGAGCATTTCAGCTTCACGTCTAGCATTTGCAACTTGCCGTTCAAGGTCTTCAACAGAGACTGTGGTGGTTTTAACCCCGTTGGAAGTATTGGAATTTGAAGACTGTGCGAAATTATTCCATGGACTAGGATCACCGTTCATCATTATTGGAGAACCTGGGGAATTGTTGTCTGAAGAACCAAATAAGGGGGAAGCAGATGAGAATGATGTTGGTAAATTGAAAATGGATGATGTGTTGAAGTTGAAATCCTTAGAAAATATATTAGAGGATGAAAAGTCAAATGTTGAATCAGAGAGTGATTTTGGATCAGATGGATTTTCTAACACATTTTGTGTTGAAATCGAATCATTATTGGTGCCTTTTGAGACATTGAGAGATAATGCAAAGGCGGACGTTGAAAAATCGAATTTAAAGTCTGTTGGCATTTTATTATGACTTTGTAAATTATTAATGGTGAGATTGTCCTTTTCATTACTTTCATTTGAAATCTTTTGAAATTCTTCAATGTTCAAACTATGTGGATCCTCAATTGAATCAGTGTCTTTTTGTGAAAGGTCATTTTCCGTAAACTGGGCTTGGACGCCCGAATTCTTATCTTTTTTTTTTGATTTCTTTGAAAGAATTGGAGTGGGTGCAACAGATGACTCAATGGCAGATTTTATATTTGTTTCACCCGAACCATTGATCGAAATGCTATCACCTTTATTAATTAATGTATCTTTATGCTTTGATGAACTGTTTACGGAAAGTAATTGTCCATCAGAATTATACTGTTTCTTCGAACTTCTCGAATGTCTTCTGTTCCACTTTTGAACAGGTGTGGTAGTTGGTGAATCTGGTGTTGTATTAGGATCTGATTTTTTAGCGACGTTTTCATTAGGAGATCTCTTGTAGGTTTGGATCGACGGGCTGGCAACGGACTTAACTTGTAAATCATTTCCGTCATTCGTCTTTGTACTTAAAATTTTGACGGGCGCAGGTTTTAAAGAACGATTTGCATTAACTGAACCAATTTCGTTATTTGTTTTTTTGTGCATGGCATCCTTGTCAAGAAACACCGGACTTTTGATAAGGGTTGCATTGATAGATTGATCTGTTTCCTTTTCAATTTCAGTAGCTCGTTCCGAAGGAGTGGATGTTTGTATTTCTTTTGAATCGTCATTTATGCCTGTATAAGTAATCATGCCACATCCAAAAATTTTCCGAACAAAAAGAAAGCAAGTCGATTTACGACGTTACTATTTTGGGCTTTATAATAGTTTATCACCTCCCGAAAAGAATGCAGAATTTATAAAAAATAAAATTGACGATATAAAAACACACCTTCCCAAAAAAATCAAATGCAAAAAAAATTTCAATTGGATTATAAACAACTACCCACAAAATTATAATTCAAGACACACTCTTTGTCTCTGTCTTTTTGTCTTTTGGTTCAATTTTTTTATTTTCTTTATAATTGGGATTAATAACCCCGACCACTAAGCATTGAAGAAAACCCACCTGCATCCATATTACCCAATCCGATTCCTACACCGAACCCACCACCAATCTGTTCGTCACCTGTTCTTGTTACCCGTTCAAATACACTTAACCGATGGCCCCCAACATTTTGTATTGGTTGATATTGCTGCTGTGACATTACTGGCGCACCTGGTGCCCGATATGCATTGTCTGCTTGAGAAATCCGAACTGACATAATAGCAGGATCTTGAAGAATATTAGGTAACGCTTCCGCTACAATTAAGCACCGTATTAATAAAACATAAATTATTATAAATTATACAGGCACATTTTATTTATTTAGAATAATTAAGTAAAAGACTACAAACCTTCTCTAGACACCTCATCGTGAGAATTTGAATTAACTGCAGCAGCCTTAAGAAAAGCACCGAAAATGTCTTGAGTTTCATTTCTGGAATGGTTAGATAAAAACTGATTCTGAGACGGCTGATGTGGAGGTTGATGTGGGGGTTGACGAGATAAGTAGTCATCCTCGATATTCCAAGTAGTTGGTGGATTCCAACCACCAGTTATGCCAAAATCCATCCGAGGAGATTGAGCATAAATTCCAGGTGGGGGTGACTTAATAGTTGGAGGTACAACAGAATTTCCACTCAACTGCTGATGATGTTGCATTAACATATTTTGATGGAAATGATGATCCAGGCCAGGAGACGTGTTGTTAAGAAGATTTTGAGCTTGGTTCATACTAGAAATTTGAACACCAGGAGGCGCATTCATTAAATTTCGACGCAACGGTGCGAAAGTAGAATCATTTGATGTATTCCACATGGATTCTTGATGCACATCACTTGGTCCGAAACTTATATTAACATTTGGAAATAGTGCTCGGAAGCCCTCTTGTAAATCTTTCATAGCCAACGGGTCTGCAGAATTTAAATGTGTAAATTCACCATCTTGAGCAAAACCGAATCGTGATGAATTTCTTGATTTTGCCGAATTAGAATATGCCTGTGAATTTGTCCTCGCATCATTTACATAGATATCCGAAACGTTATTACTAAGAGATGATATCCCAAGAACACCTAAAGATGGACTTTCACTAGAGAAGGGATCGAATTTGTCGTCATCAGGTGCAAACGGATTGAACGAGCCAGTATAAGGGGTAGGTGATGGTTGATTAAATTCAGCACTGTTTGAAAGGTTTGAAATGTCTGTTCTAATAAATCCAACGCCTGGTGGTGGTGACACTATACGTGAGCTTGCAACTATGTTACTATCTTGCACAATTGTAGTTTTCTCGTTAAGCTTTTCCTCAGTAATTGATACAGAATCCGGTAATGGGCCATTAAATGAGAAGGAAAAAGAGCCATCACTGAGTGCAGACAATGTTTGATCAAAATCCGCAACTATATCGGTTTGTTTTGACAAAAGTGGATTATCAGTATGCGATTTAGCCGATGAATCGGATTTTTTTTCCAATCTTTCTACTTGAATTGACTCATTAACAAATCGTTGTAGTTGTTCTGCCTCTATATCTTCCTCTGCTTCGTTCTTCTTCACATTAGATCCCGTTGAAAGTGAAATAGGAACATATTCCGATTTTTTGACCACTTTTGCATTTATAGATTGCGCATCTGACAAACGTTTTGCCTTTTGTTCTTGAGACGATGATGGTGTGGGAGAAGACTGTTGTGAGCTTGATGCATGTGTGAAAGAATTTTGTGATGACTGCAACAAAGGTGTTTGTGCTGAATGTGATAGCTGTGATGTAGGTAGTTGCTGATTATATAGTATTGGTGTAGTTTCTGTGCTTGATGGTTTAGTGGCCCAAGAAGCAGTTGGAGGTAATGCTGATGCTTTTTTTAAATATAAATTTAACAATAATTGAAAATTACGCCTAATGATATATATATATTAATTTACCCTCTTCCCTCTCGTCGTTACTTCCTCTGTCACTTTCCGGTCCAACTATCCGATGAGGAGGAGGCTCTGCTTTTTTAACTGTATGCGGCTGAGTAGAATGTGGCGGAGGAAACACTGTGGTTGGCCCTGATGAAGGTGGTCGACCTAATTGTATCTTATGTGCTTCGGTGTTTGCATGTTCCTTGAGATGATACTTACTATATTGTCGATTGTAAATTAGCAAGCAAAGATGTGTTGAAATTATATGTAAAAAAAACTTACACAGAAGCCAAGTCCTCTTTAGTGTAACTATCTGCTTCTTCTCCTGGTTCATGTAAATACATGCAATTGGGATTTTGGCAGACCATACTGCGCAAATAGTATGTGCAATATTTTGTTGTACCGTATGATGCCCTACGTTCGAGACGTAAAATAAGCAAATTAGACATTGCAAACGAAGAAAATAAAGTCAAATAAACGAGTATCCCCTGTCAATTATGGAAACAGTGGTATGAATTTTAACCTCAACACTTTGCCGTCCGAATTACTGCCATCCACGGCGGCTATTGCTCTTGCTGCGTCTTCTTTTCGTACGTATGTGATATAAACCCCAACGCTGGGCTGGGGTGGAGGAGTGCTGGGGACAGTCGATGCTGGAGGATTCCGACGATTTACGACAATTTTGGCGATCTTACCGTATTGGCCAAAATAGTCATGAGATCGTAGTATCTTTAAGAACAACGCGAGTTGAGTGCGAGGTTTGACAACAATTCAATAAACTACTGATACTGATCATATGGAGAAAAGGCGATATTTGTTGTTTTAACCATCGCCTACCTCCTCATTCGCAATCTTCGGGCTTAGTCCAATCACGTAAACCAGGTTTTTTTGAACCACTCTCATATTAGACAGATGTTTTCTATTCATCGCTTCAAGCTCCTTTTTTTCACGTTCTCTTTGCTTCTTTTCATTCTTGATCCGCGCTAACCTAAACAATGTAAAATGGTTGAAATTTTAATTGACAATGTAAATTTAAAAGCAACATTTCTATCTTAATTCTACTTTATTAAAATACGGTAACAATTTTCAACTTACTCTTCAGCTGATATGGGCTTAAATTCAATAGTTTGTTCAGAATATACCCTACGACAAGCAGGACAGAGTCCGTTCAAATTCTCTTGAATATGATGCCAGCAAAATCGACAAATCTTAATTATGAATTGTATGGATTAGAAATTAGTTTAATATACTAACATTATACATTTCTCAAACGAAACAAAAGTCTTGTTCACGGTCCTGAAGTCAGTATCGAAGCTTTTTCTCACAATTAAAGTAGCTCAAGCCTCCCCTCGAAGGTATATACGTATCATGTTTAAAAAATTTTTCTTGTCCGGCCCACTGAAATCTCACCTGATAACCACAGGGGCATGGTCTGAAATTTCTATCAGATAAATCCATCTCTTCCATACAGAGAGGGCACTGGAACTCTTCTTCCTCAGAGTAGTATTCGGTTTTCGACATTCTTGAAAGTCTCTTGCTTGTCTTGGTAGGTAAACTTTGACTGATTGAGGTATGTACTTACTTCAAAAGAACGACTTTCGTCTGATTAGTCAATTTTTATAGATCTACCCGTGATTACCCGTGATAATTAACCAATAATATTGCATAATGTTTATTATTTTGCAATACATATGGGCACGACTTTCGTCTGAGAGGTCAATCTACCCGTGATGGTTAACCAATAAAATTGCATGATTTTAATATGAGACGCAAAAATACCGCTTCTGATAGATCACCAGTACTGTTCCGATAGGGTAGGAAAAAAGGGTCTCTAAAATAATATTACAGGTTTTGGCTATCAATTTCAGACATCCTTATCAAGAACGTACCCACCCCAAATAATAAAAAAGCGTTTAAAAGTTGGTGCATTCTTGATAGGGGTGTCTGAAATTGATGGTCAAAGCCTGTACTATAGCGAAAGTGTGTAAAAGTTTGATTAGGGTTCGTTTTTAGAATCCTATCAGGCCCTGTACTCGTTTTTTTAACACCATCGAGATCGCAAAAACACTATTCTTGATGGATCGGCAGTACCGATCCTGGTGGGGTTAAATCCTACCATTTTTTTATATGGACCTTTTTTTAAATTCTATCAAGAACGGTAAGTAAATCGTTTTTTTCTACCTATCAAGAATAGTACCAATGATCTATTAATCTATTAAGAATAGTATTATTACTACAGAAATAGTATCTATCGCTATTATACACGCTGAACAACTCCTAAACCCCTGAAAAATAATTGCTAATTATAAAAATTAAATCAAACAAATAATTCCAAAATATATTATTTATAGTTATAAGAATATACTTGATTTATTTAAACAATAATTATTGATAAAAATTTCAAATTATAAATTTGACTAGACCTTTTGAGTTTGTTTACTTTAAGTTTACTTAAAGTAAACAAACCCAAAAGGTCTAGTCAAATTTATAATTTAAAATTTTTATCAATAATTATTGTTTAAATAAATCAAGTATATTCTTATAACTATAAATAATATATTTTGGAATTATTTGTTTGATTTAATTTTTTATAATTAGCAATTATTTTTTAGAGGTTTGAAATTTGTTAAAATTTTAGATGTTTATTTAGTTTTACATTATATAATTTATAATTAGTATAGTAGATATTTATATAATTATTTAATACAAATTAATTATTTAAATAACTTATTTATATACTTTAAAGTACTTTTTAAAAACATAATATTTTATTAATAAAAATTAGAAACTTTGATTATGCAAAGGTGTTAATATTCAGTATGTAAAAAAAATTTTTAAAAAAATACCAAAACTAATGCAAAGATATTTACTACAAGATTATATATAATTATTATAAAATGTGATAACTTAGTAAAATAAACAGATTGTTAATTCTTAAATGATAAGTTTAATGTTCAAATTCTATAAACCTTAAAATTTAAAAATTTTATCTATATTATGATAACTATGTTTTGTCAATTAATTAAATTAAAAAAATAATTTATAATTTTAAATATATTATTTTAAATAGAAATTTAAGTTATTTATTTATTTTTTTTTTATTTTTTTTTTTTTAAAGTGGGGTTTTGCTCATATCTTTATTGATTTGTTAAAAAAGCCTTTAGAGGCTTCTCTAGATATAAATTACAAACTTATTCCAATTACAAATATATTACAAAAATAAAGCTCAGACTATAAACAGATTTCTATCTAATTTATCTGCAATCTAAATCTACTAGAGTGGTTAAAACTTATCTAGATTTGATAATATAAGATATTGTTTGTAGTGTAGCTATATAGTATCCAGTATACAGACCAAAAGTCAATTTTATAAAATGTGTTTCCTAGTAGTAGGCAGTTGTTATCTTCTGTATAGAGTTAATTAGACAAACCAAACAGTTAGCAGACTGTATAGTATAAGTTGTGATGTCGATTAGAGTAGTTATAAAATCTTTTGGAAGTTGTAGATCTGTTATTTGGTAAAATGTTATTGTCTTTTTTCCATTATGCTAATTTAGTAGCATATGGTTTCTATATATAATCATATATTTTTTACGATATTTTGGTAAGCAGTTTGGTAGTTATTGAAATTGCAATTTGGTGAGATGTAGTATAAGGACTGATTGTGGTAATTAGATTTATTGGCACATATCCTTGTAGTGTTGTATATATGTTGCATTGTTCTCGATGAGCATTGTTGACTGATAGGCTGTAATGTTAAGTTAGTAAATAGTTTAGTTGTTGTAGTATGATTGTGTAATGTCGAGTAGTAAGTTATTGTTAATGGTTTCAAAAATTGTTTCTGTAAAAATACTAATAAGATTTGTTAGGTTAGGGCAAAGTAGCCAATGCGGTTGGTGTTCTGGTGCTTGGCAAGTAATGCAATTATTGTGCTGAAAGCTATCTGAGTATAGTTTATAAAGGCAATGTAGTATTGGTAGAATATTAAGTAATATTTTGATCTTGAATAATTTGCTTTGATTGAGTGAGAAATTGGTGTAGTTATTTGTTCATTTAGTATTGTTATTAAGATATAACTATGTTGTGTTCCAGTCAATTTGTGATGACAATAGAATAATGTTACTCATGTGATGTTGTGATGATCATATGACAATTATATATACATTGCAAATGTTTTTAATAGCTCATCTAGTCAGTTGTTCAATTATGTATTTTCTATATTTTAGAGTATATAAGGTGTTATATAGATTATTGTATATGAAATCAAGGTATGCAGTAGAGTTGTAGTTTGTTGCTAGCTTATCAGCTTCATTGTTAAATATATTGTTACTATGTGCAGATACTTTGTGAAAAGTAACTGTATGTTGATAGGATTGAATTAGATTGAGTAGAGAGTACCAGATAGGCCAGTATGAATAGGAGTATTGTTTGTATGTTAGAATTAGATAACTAGTAATTTTGCTGAATTTTGCAATGATTGATTAGGAGTCTGTATATATTTGTATATTGCTGTTACATGGGCATATACAAATAGCAGATAGTATTGTCATAAGTTCTGCTTTGTAAGATGATAGCCAGAGTTTAATACAGGAAAAATATAATTGAAGTATTGTATTGTTGTAGATTTGTACCTATTTAATGTTCATAGAACATTGATCAGTAGTAAGATTAGTAACTGATCCATCTGTGTAGAATATGAAGTTAATGTTCCTCTTATTAAAGTTAGCAATTTTCTGAAGTTTAATAGAGGAAGAATTAACTTGAAATAGGTTAAATATAGGTGTATTAGTAAGTGTAAT